TTCTTATGTTCACATTGTTTACCTGTCTACTGATATTGTAGCTGTTGGGGCACAGCCATTATACCCATTGTGGCAAGGGGACTAGGTCCTCTAAGTAGGAGCCCAGGCTCTTGGAGTCAATATCTAGCTTTCTTTCCAATGATAATTAAGTACTCAGAGCTTTGGTCTATCAGTGAGTTTGCTGCAGAGTTTTTATGAGAGCAAAATATGATAAGAAATATAAAACATTTTTGACAGTCTAACATTGTATAAAACCAAAAGTTATTTCAATAAACCAATTTTTTTACTAAGTCTTTATAAAATCTGTTAATTTGCTTTTATTACATTTAGTAGGAAAAGGCTGAAACATTTTACCATGATCATGAAAATAAAAAATAAATGGAATGCTCATGGGATCGTAAAAACTTTGACATCATTCTTACTAAGTTTAATGGAACATATCTAGGTCTTCATTACTTAGACACTGGGTACCCACACTAGTATGTTATGACCAGAGACAGATATATTATGATACTAGGTTTTTTCCTTTACATAGTATCACTACATAGGATAAAATACATTGGGTGGACATGGTGGCTCTTGCCTGTTATCCAAGTACTTTGGGAGGCCGAGGCAGGAGGATTGCTTGAGGCCAGGAGTTTGAGGCCAGCCTGGGCAACATAGCAAGACTTTGTCTCTACAAAAAACTTAAAAATTATCTAAGCATGATGACAGGCACCTGTTGTCTTAGCTACTAGGGAAGTTGAGGTAGGAGAATTACTTGAGCCTAAGAGTTCAAGACTACAGTGAGCTATGATTGTGCCACTGCATTCCTGCATTGGTCACAGAGTGAGACCCTGTCTCTAAAAAAAAAAAAAAAAAATTCAATGAGCCACAGGATAATGTCTAACGAGTGCCAATTTTGTGCCAGTGCTTGTGGTCACTGTGGTGTCACCATTATCTCATGAAATAATCACAAATCATCACAGTGTCCTGTGGGATAGTTACAAGTCTTTGACTTATTCCACACAGCTTCCCCATTGAAGCCTAACAGATTGCAATACCACTCATCCCTTCTGGAGCTAAGCTGTCTTCCATATTTTCTAATTGCACTAATTTGGGTTTGAGAGCTCTAAAATTTTTTCTAATTTGTAGCAGTCTTTTGATATATTAAGATATAGATCCCCATTACTTGTAGAATCTGATTTTGTGAATTTACCTGCATGCTAAAATTTATTTATAACCCCCAAATCAATACTCACAATGCTTTCATGATTATTCATGGATGTGTGCAGAGCTGGTCACGTGACCAGCTAAGGCAGAATAAAAGGTACTTTCTGTCTTCTTGTTTCAGCCCTCATACTATAAGAAAGTGCCCTTTTTGTGGTATGTTCTATGCCAATTTTTCTATTTGTTTTCTTTTTGTTGGTGACTTCGGGGTTTAAAACGGCCCCCAAATATAGTGCTGAAGTGCTTTCTAGGTTCTTCAACACAATAAGGGTATGGTGTGACTTACGGAGAAAATGTATTCTCTGTACAAATTTTGAAAAGCTTTGTCCAGGCATTAGTTATAGTGTTGTTGGATGTTTCAGTATAATGAATCAACATTATATATTAAATAAGATGTCTTTAAGTAGAAACACAGAAAAACAAAGTAGATATTGACTGGTTGATAAAACAGCTGTGATCAGAGGCTCACAGGAAGCTAACCTTGTGTTTCTGCTAGAAGTAATCATTCAGCATTTGCTAATTAGTGTTTGTGGCAACTTTATAGAACACAACTCTTGCAAATAACAAGAATTGACAGCAACTGAAGACACCATTGCACTTGACTTTTTAAATTGCCCACTTGATGTCACGTAATTTGATTATTCAGCCTTTGATTTCAGATTGGGAGATAAATGAAAGACCTTGAATACCAAATTTTAAACTGATGGGAACTTTTATGAGGAAGTCATAAAAGCCTGCAATCAAAGATTGGTAATGGAAGCCCTCATGAACCCTGACTCTCCCAGGCAAATGACATCAATATAATCTCACTGGTACTTAGCAGAATTCAGTTATTTTTTTTTTGACTTGGAGCATGATGTCTTCCAGGGTGATAAGAAAGAAATAAGGGTATAAATTTGAATAATTTCAGTTTAACATGCTTTTTAAAATGTTGACAAGGTATACTGTTTTATATGATTCAAGCTAAGTTTGTCAGAAACAGTGAATTCTTAAATTTAAGTCATGCTTATAAAAATCTGTGAGATCCCTAGCTATGTTCCTCATAAGTTCTCACATAAAAGGTTAATTTATTCCAATCAATTAACTTATTAAGTACAAAAAGGGCATATTGAGATACTACTGTAAAGTAACTTTTTAAATAATAAGTAAAACTATGAAAAAAGGGAGTTTTGACCTTTCATTTCTTGCTTTGTTCTTTTATGGTAAGTGTAAAAATTACTTCAAGGAAATCTTATTTCTTTCATTTGTATCACAATTTTTTAACAGAAAGTGCTATTATCTAAAAATTTTGATGAGTTGTTTTTCCTCTAAGATTCAACTTATATCAGAAGTATTTCTGTTTCCAATAATAATTAATCAGTTATAATTTAAGTTTTGGTGACTTTTTTATAGAACAGCAAAGATTCTTAGGTAACTTGTCAAAAGACATCATTTCAATTTTGAGGCAAGTACTGGGTCATATTAACTTGTTAGAAGAGGTTAATTTATCTTTCATATTAAGTATTTGTATTAGTCTGTTCTCATGCTGCTAATAAAGACATACCTGAGACTGGGCAATTTATAAATGAAAGAGGTTTAATTGACTCACGGTTTGGTATGGCTTGGGAAGCTTCAGGAAACTTACAATAGTTATGGTAGTGGAAGCAAAAATGTCCTTCGCATGGAGAAGAGCAGCAGCTAGGAGAAATGCTGAGCGAAAGGGCTAGAAAAGCACCTTATGAAACCATCAGATCTTGTAAGAACTCACTATCAGCATGAGGGTGATCAACCCCATGATTAAATTATCTCCCACCAGGTCCCTTCTAGGACACATGGGGATTTTCAAGATGAGATTTGAGTGGAGACCTAGCCAAATTATATCAGTATTATTCCTAAAAATATGGTGGCTCACACCTATAATCCCAACACTTTGGGAGGCTGAGGCGGGCAGATCACCTGAAGTCAGGCATTCAAGACCAGTCTGGCCAACATGGCAAAACCCCATCTCTACTAAAATACAAAAATTGACCAGGCATGGTGGCAGGTGTCTGTAATCACAGCTAATTAGGAGGCTGAGGCAGGAGAATCGCTTGAGCGGAGGAGGTGGAGGTTGCAGAGATGGCACCACTGTACTCCCCAGCCTGGGCTACAGAGCAAGACTCTTGTCTCTACAAAAAAAAAAAAAAAAAAAAAAAAAAAAAAAAAAAAAAAAAGCTTTACAGTCTGGAAGTACACACCATAAATATCCCAAATGCTATGTATTCTATTGTAGATTATAAATTTAAGCAACATTTTATTTACTGCTTTAGTCATGTAATTTTATTATAAGCACTTATTCTGCATCAGGTGCTGATATGGTTGCTATGCATGTATTTTCTCTAATTCTGTCAGTAACTAAAAAATAGGTATTATTATATTCTTTATACAGATGCAGGCACTGAGGTTCAGAGGCATAATATTTTGCTCAAGGGGTATAGAAAATTATTATAGGTTGTTAAAGAAAAATAAACTTAGGTATAGGAAAACATACAAACTCCTTGCTTTTTGATACTTTCTAAATTATTTGTAAATAATATTATAACCTAATATTTAATTTTTAAGAGTGTATAACTTGTAATGACAGACATGACATAGAACAGAGTGTTTCTAATTGATTTATCATTGACTGAGGGCTTAAGAAAGCTATGCCAAGGGTCATTAGCCATTCTTATAAAGGCAAAAAAATCATCACAGTTGTCTTATTATTCTGCTATTTTCCACCTACATATTTTCTGCCATGAAATACTGATGCAATGCAGGAAAACATTTGTGTTAGAACTTGGGCACTCTCTTGAACCTGGTGGCTGCTTTTAAGTGGGATTCATATACCTTTGACAGGTTGAAAATTAAATTGCTTTATAGGTGGCATCTTAAAAGGAATGGTAGTAAATTGAGTGATTGGTATCAAGTAGTTTGTCTTTCACAGCATCAAATAAATAGTGTTTTCTCATAAACCATAGCCTCTCTGGTTCTTGTCACTCAGGAATTCTTATGGTACAAAGTAGCATCTCTTCTTCTCTCCCTGCCTTCCACTCAATAGGAAAGCTTAATCTTGTTTTTATTGAGATATGTCTCATGTACCATAAGCTCTCCCTTTGAAAATGTACGATTCAAAAAAGAAAAGAGAAAATGTACAGTTCAGTGGTTTTCAGTGTATTCATAAAATTGGGCCACTGTCACCACTATTTCATTCCAGAACATTGTAATCATCCCAAAAGTATACCCTGTATCTGTTAGCTATTCCTCCCCATTCACACCTCCCCGCATCCACTAGAAAACACTGATCTACTTTTATCTCTCTAAATTTGCCTATTCTGGATATTTCATACAAATTCAATCATATAATATGTATCCTTTTGTGTCTGGCTTCTTTCACTTAGCACAGTGTTTCCATAGTTTATCCATATTTTAGTAGTTATTAGTGCTTCATTTCTTTTTATGACTGAATAATATTCTATCATAGGGATATATATACCACATTTGTCTATTCATTTGACAGTCATAGACATTTAACTTGTTTCCACTTTTGGCTATTCTGAACAATGCTACTGTGAACATTTCTCTAAAAGTTTTATTTTTGTGCAGATATAGGTTTTTATTAATCTTGTGTAAATAATTTAGGTGTTTCCTCTCATTTTTTCATTGCTTCCCTCAAACTCCCTAAGTTCAGAAATGCTCAGAACATTAGCAAATTTGTACATCCCAAGAAAGTTTGATCAACACTTCTGCCACATCTTCCTCAACTTGAACTTCATTTTCCTGTCTTTTCCCAGAGCCGCCAATTGGACAAATGCACCCCCCGCACGGCAGCGTCACTCCTCAGAAGAACAGCAACCTGCTTGTGATCATTGTGGTCACCGTTGGTGTCATCACAGTGCTGGTGGTCGTCATTGTGGCCGTGATTTGCACCCGACGCTCTTCAGCCCAGCAGAGAAAGTAGGTAACAGCTGGCTCCCAAGCGGAAAGAAGTCATCATCTTCTGGGGTCATATTTTTGACAGCCCTCTTCCTATCTTCTTTCATTATTCACCCCATCTCCTTATTTCTTGACCCTGGCAAAACCTCACCTTTTTGTCTATTCCAGGCCTATCATGCAGTGAGTGAGGATTAGACTTGCCGATATGATAACAAACAAAGTCCATCTGGGACCCGCTTACATTTCTGCTTGCTTTTACTTCTCTGATCACTTCTCATTTTCAAGTGAGGGCAGGTGTTCCTTAGGTAACACCTAGAGAATGGACTCCACCATGCCCCTGCTTCTGACCCTCCCAACAATCATGGACAAAAGATTTGAGAAATACATCTCTGTGTGCACATATTTATCACTTTTTCCAAGGAGGTCTGTAGGCACTTAATCAATGCTTGTTGGATAGATGACTAAATATAGAATGCCAAACTGTGCAGTTACAATCCTGTGGGTGCTTAGTTTGGAGGCACTAGTTAAGAAAGAAGAGAGAGTTTAGAGATTCAAAATGATTTGAATGTATTGTTTGTGGTTAATTGTCAGAAATTAAGTGTTGAGGGCTTTAAAATATTTTCATATTTTGCAGCATTAGGTTCTAGCACATGCAGAGAATGATGCATCAGAGTACAAAGCTTAAAATGTAAAAGTGTTTTTATTCAGCCCGTATCCTTGCAACCTCACCCTGTAACTGGCCTGTTATCCAGTGTCAGCCAGTGCTGGGAGGCAGCAATAATCTCCCAGCCATTCTCTGCCTCTTTGACTCTCTCGTCCTTTTAAAATTCAGACTGATGTGTCTTTTTCGGCTACGCTTTCTCACTGCATTGATTATCTTAGGCTTTTCCATGAGGTTTTGGCTTGGCCTGAGGTTTGGGCTCATAGGTGGCTGGTTTGACAACTGTATACTTTACAATTTGCTAGAAATAATTTTCCAGCAAATAATGTTCCCCCTTCTCTTGCTAATAGCTCACACTTTCTCTTTCTCTCTCTCTTTTTAAGTCCTACGTTTCTAGTTGTAGGTCTCTAGTATATCTTCCAGCACTCTAAAGTGAGGCGTTTAGAAAGAGAACAAGGGAAGATGTACCTACTGAAGAAAGTAACATGGGCTATAGATGCAGGCTTTGTATTTAATCTATTGCTATGGCAGGACATATTTTCTATCCAGCTGCATTTGTGAGATTGGACTAGTTTGATAGCTAGTGTGCTGGTCCATTGTGCCTAAGCAAGAAACCTGCTAGAGTGAGCTCAGCTGGGCCAGGCTGATGTGTGAGCATTCTGGGAAGTCATCATCACTCACAGAGTTTCCACAGTGCTGGGCAGTTAATAAGGCTCTGGGGAGAAAGTAACTAATTGAGTAAAGCATTGAACAATCTCTTGGTGCAGCATTATCAGGAAAGGGGTTGTGCAGTCATGGAACAGTGAAACATCAAGGCAGCAGATGAAGCAGACCTAAGAGGGACTCATAAAAGAAGGTGGGGAGGAGGCAGCAAAATCACACCCAGCCTACCATGTAACTGCTTTTAAGACACGGAAGCATTCACTCAACTATCTAAATGTAACTAAACTATCCATAGAAGGTTTGTTTTTGATTTGGGTTTTTTTTTCCCCCTCCTATGTCATTTCTGTGAGAAGAATATTTGAGGAATAGATTGATCTGATGAACTGGATTCCTGGATCTACTTTGTTTCCCACAGAGCACCAGTCTTCCCAATGTGCAAAAGTGGGATTTGGTGCTATCCTGAGAAACTCTCAAATCATCTTAAATCTCACCCTTAGCACTTTGGTAAAAGCTTAAGGGCTTTATTTGGAAAGAGGGGACACTGAGACCTGGGTATGACTTGTTTTTTAAAATTAGGGACTGAATTAAGGAATAAATGGTTCTATTAATGACTGAAAATCCCAAAACACTAAGTTTGACTGTCACTTTGGTTTTTCCTCACTGCAGTCTCAAAGTCTCTTAATAGTTACTTGTGTTTCACACTTTGTTTGATATCTTTCTTCAGTAACAAATCCAATGACATTCATTTTTGTCCCTTTGGTTGCATATGTTCATAGAGAGAAAGAAAATGTTTCCTTCATGTTATTTCTGAACTATAATTTAGTTTAGTTTTTTGTTTCATTGAGAACCCCTACTCGTCGATATCACCACAATTGAGCCCTTCAAAACAAACTGGATAATGCAGGTGAAAGTGAAATCAATTCCAATCTGAAACAGAAATAAGATCCTCTCCAAAGCCCTTAGAAAATGGGACTTTAATTAATAAAGTGAAGTAGAAAATGCATTCATGAGCTTCTTCAGTATCTCTTTGGGATTCTAGAGAATATAAATTTTTCACTGTGTTTTGTTGGGGGACTTGAATTATATCCAAGTGAATTGAAAAAGTTCTATGGACTCTCAGTAATATCTTGTTCAGGTAAATGTCTGTGCATTTAATAAACCTAACCTTTAAAAAATCATGCATATATTTAACAATGAATTAGGCTATCCAGTTGTTTCAAAATAGTGGGTACTAACTTTCATTAGCTATCCAGTTGATTCAGAATAGCGGGTATTAACTTTCATTAGCTATTTTATGTAATAAAAATGAAAATTATATTACATAAAATAGCTAATGAAAGTTAGTAACCAAGTTCTAGTTCTGGGTCTACTACTTCTTTAAATAAACTAATTATATCACCTAAGTGAAGACCCTTAATACTTGGGTGGGAGTTTCTTTAAATATAATGACAATCTGGACTAAATACTTTCTATCCTTCTCTCTAGCTTTTTTGTTAGTATGTTTGTCCACAGCCAGATAGAATCTTCTTCTACTTTTAAGACATAGAAATTCCCCATAGAATACCTATAATTTATAGAATCATACAGTAGCATTAAGCTTTAAATTAATAGGAAATACAAATAATTTTGCATTTTGTAGTCATTTATTAAACTTTTTTTACTACTGTACTTTGAAGAGACCCCCTTCACATTTTCTATTAGTGAGATTATAGTATGATCCATAGAAAAGTTATATTTTATGAAAACTTAAGGCTGGGTGTGGTGGCTCACACCTGTAACCCCAGCATTTTGGGGGGCCAAGATAGGAGGATGGCTTGAGACCAGGAGTTTGAGACCAGCTTGGGCCACATAGTGAGACCTTGTCTCTGAAATAGCCTTCAATTAGTCAGATATAGTGGTGCACGCCTGTAGTCACAGAAAGGAGGCTGACGTGGGAGGATCTCTTGAGCCTGGGATGTGGAGGCTGCAGTGAGCCATGACTGCATCACTGTACTCCAGCCTGGGTAACAGAATGAGACCTGTCTCAAAAGAGAAAAAATGAAACAAAACTTAAGTTGATTTTCGCCCCTGTTTCTCTGCTTTTTAATGAGGCAGTAACATTTTCTTGCCCAACATGTAGATCACGTTATAAGTTAGAATTTATTCACAGATACTGAGGACAAAATGAAATTGAGCAAATACAGGAGCTCTAGAACACATGGTTATTACATTTCTAAGGCACTTACCTGGGTAGGTGATGTGCAGTCTTGTCTGAATGCTTTAAATTTGAACATGTGAATAAAATACAAGATGTACTTGATAGAACCACTGGTTGGCTGGGCCTTCTATTTGACTTGACATGTGGATAGCAAGTTTTAAAGATTAGTATGCATTTAAATCTTGACAAGAATAATTATCTTTAGTACTGATGATGAAATGTTCAAGCTCTTAAATGAAATCTACAGTATTTTAACCACTATAGGTCACTTTTACTGATTTTTCACTTGTTAACATTTTAATTGGTTCTCAATATTCGCCTCATAGAGATTTGAACTACCAACTACTTTAGGACTTCAATATATCTTAATCCTGTCTCAGAATATACAGATATATTTGAGTGTCTGGAATTCATCCTGGATTTCTAATACTAGTTTTCTGGTTTTGTTTTTAATAGCAGTTAGTGAAATAAAAATAATCAAAATGGATAACTAGGAGGCTAGAAGTCTCTGGAAAAGATTTGGAGAGGAAGCACAGGACTGTTTGTACTTATCAATGTATCTTTTTCTGATTAACTTATAATTACTTATTCACACCTGAAGACTTCCCCCCAAGCCCCTGGTAGGGCAGAATGTTCCTGCTTCAATCCCTGTCTGATGTTGGGAATTGTCTTCTCACCACTAGAATTAGTACAGAACTCTTTATTAGTCTGCCTAATAAAGTTGTGAACAACTTTAGCAGATGATGCCTAAGTCCATAGTGGGAACTTAGTAATTTATTATGATGTGCCAAAATAACCTGTGGGATAATAGTTGGATTTTAGAACTTCAAAGGACACATTCTTGCATAAAAGGGACACTCCACTCATGTTGGGTTTTACTCATTCACATCCCCAAGATACCAATTAAAAGTTAAAAGGAAAAAAATCTTAGTACTAGGATATGTATAAAGTAAGGAATGGGTAAGTACATACAGAACCAGAGAAGAAGCTTTCAGATAAATACTTGCGTATCAATAATGGAAAGTAGTTCTCATTATTTAATTCAAGTAATTACTGTGTGCTTTATTTGGGATCTGCATCATACAAAGTAACAAATTTGATTAATGTTAACTCTCAAGCTAAAAATCTTTCTGCAATTTCCCACGACTTCTTGATATTATTAAAAATGTAGGCTGGGCATGGTGTAATCCCAGCACTTTGGGAGGTCAGGAGATCGATACCATTTTGGCTAACACAGTGAACCCCATCTCTACTAAAAATTCAAAATACTAGCCAGGTGTGGTGGCATACGCCTGTAATCCCAGCTACTCTGGAGGCTGAGGCAGGAGAAGCACTTGAAACAGGAGGCAGAGGTTGCAGTGAGCTGAGATCGCACCACTGCACTCTAGCTTGGGCAACTGAGCGAGACTCCATCTTAAACAAACAAAAATAAAAAAAAGAAGAAGAAAAAAGAAAAAGTATCTATTTGGGGCATCCTATGTTTTGGACCCTTCTGCTTTTTCATGCACACGACCTGTCATGCCACAGTGCATGCTCCTCATTCCAACAATGAAGACATTCCCAGGAGCCATGCCATTTTCAAATCGTTTTTTAAGCTTTCAATACGTCTCTCATCTTAAATTTGTAGTACTTAGCACATTTCTTGACACATAGTCAATATTCCATAAATATTGATTGAATAAATAAATGTGTTGTAAAACAATGGATGATGTTGAAGAAGTGAAGGAAACAGAGTTTGCTCCACTATCACTGAAGGAATTGAATTATCACAAAGGGAGCAGCTGGACAGCTCAATAAGACATGTGGTGATCAATGCCAAGGTGAATGGTATAGAGAGAGATGAGGGAAGTGATTTAGACACTCTAAGATTACAGTGACCTGAGATGGTCAGGAAGGTTCCCTGAAGGAGAGAGGCTTGAAAGGAAACTTAAAGAATACGTCATTTGTAGATAAATAGGATGTTTAAGGCAGTCTGGGCAGAAATTAAATAAATAAACAAACAAAACCAAAAATAGAGCACCAGTACCTGACCATGTTGTGAAAGTTTTGCCATGATCTCAGAAGGAGAAAGCGGACAGCCTGGGAGGGCTCTTTGCTTTGGCTTTATCAAGAATACCTGGGGTAGGAGACTCCCCTATTCTAGGGCTATTTCAAAAGCAGGAAGATGACTGGTGCCTGAGGAAAAAGATATACCTGGTATTTGCAGAAGGGCTAAACATGTGAAATACTCTATGTCAAATAGGAAAACTAGCTTTAAAATAACAACAAATGAAACCAGGTAATTCACTATGATAGTACTTCTCAAATTTTAGGTGCACAGATTCACTTGGAGAGTGTAAAAAGACAGATTGCCCCCTGCAACCAAGTATCTGATTTGGTGGTTCTGTGGTAGAGCCTGAGAATGTACATTTCTAACCAGTTCCCAGGCAGTGGCCATGATGATGCCTCTGGTTTAGAGACTACACTTTGTCAAGCACTCCACTAGGAGCATCGGAATACACATTTTGAAGAATATAATGGTGAGACATAAGAATTGTAGGCTGCAACAAGCAGCAGTCATGTCAGGGACCAACAGATGGGCCGAAGGTCAGGGCGATACCTGTTCCTATTTTTGAGAAAATTTCAGACAATTTAGTTATGAGCACATGTTAGTTTTATTACAAACCTGCTGTGGTAGAGGTTGGAGGGACAAAAGAGGAAGAAACAAGGCCAAAGATTTCTCCTTTAATAAGAGACATGATAGGAAATAAAAGTGGTTGGATGGTCATAGTTAGAATAAATACAAAAAGAAAATTCTGCTGAGAGATCTTTAGTTTCTTGACTGACAGTCACCTGGGTGGGTGAGCAGCTTCTTAGAGCTGCTCTTGATCTGATTAAAATCCAGCAGAAAAATGCCTATACATTTTATGAGGAATTATATTCTTCCCTGATGGAGATTATGAATCACAGCATACAAAAAGGTTTGCCAGGTTTGGAACTGTTTAAAAAACAGAAGCCATCTGGGGCTGGCTGGTACTGAAGTCACGGAAACTAGCAAATAAATGAATAAATGAAAAGGCATGCATATAAGCAAAGGGAAACCAGAATTTGTAATTTATTGCTGGGCTCAATTTTATCCTGCCTACTGTCTTTACTCCAGGTTATTTAAATACTGAGTTAAATAAGGAGCCTGGCTATGTTTTCCTGGATTTGGGAACTGGTACTTCTCTGTGTGCAGCCACACAGACACTGGTGTTATTTACCATTTTGATCTCCTAGAAAGAGAGACAACAGGGTGAAACACCCAAGTTTGAGAATGACACTACATTTTCTATGATGTTACTGGGAGTAGATTACACAGGAAGCTGTGTGTGAGTTGCAGATCAGTTTGCTGTGGGTAACTGAAATATACAGAAATGAATTTAGGGAATAAATGGTTAGCAGTGAGTTATTATCTTAGACACAGGAAAACAGGAGTTATTTCAGACCATCGGTTTAAAACATTATGGGACTGCTACCAGGAAATCGGCAAAATGCAGGTAATGTTATTTTTTTCTCTGCTAAAATACAAAATAGGTATTACATCCAGGGGGTTCTTTATCTCCTGTCCTCATCAGCATGCTTCAAGAAAAACAAACAAAAGTCAGGGAAAATTCAACAAATTACACTACCCCAAATATTTAATTATCTAATATTTACAAAGCTGTTTATTCATCATTGGAAAACCAGACAATCCAATGACTTTGCACAGGTTACAGGTGTTTTCACTGAGAGTAGCTTGTTTGAGCCATTAAGCAACCATGGAAAGTACATATTATAATAAACTGTTCATTGCAAATTAAGGAAGTGGGAAGTAGATGGTTCTCTGGTGTGTCAAACTAGATTTTAACTGTTTGCATTATTTCTTACAGAGCATTTTTGTTTTAAAAGAAATAGAATTTACAAGTAGAGGTTTAAAAGTTATAAAACGAGGGAAAGGGTCAAAAACCGTTTCTGTAAAGGACCAAATAATACATTGTTTAGGATTTTTGAGCCATATAGTACCTGTCACAACTATTCAATTCTGCAGTTGCTCTGCAAAAATAAATGAGCTTGGCCATGTTTCAATAAAATTTATTTACAAAACTAGGCTGTGGGCAGATTTGGCTTACTTACCATAGTTTACTAACCCCCTGCTGTAAAGAATGACTAACATGAACATTGTGCACTTTACTTATCATGCAGGGAACATTTAATCTCACTAGTCCCAAGAAGAGATTATCACCCCCAAAAATAAATTTATCATTGTTGAAGCTTTATTGAGGCAAATAAGAGACATGTGAAATACATTTTCAAACTGTGTTCTTCTCCTTTCAAAGGATGTGTCTCACTGTGTTTGAATCTGGACACTCAGTGATGCCAAGGCAAAAGTGTTTTATTCTCCTAAGAATGTTCTCATGTGGCCTTTTGTTTTCAAATAGCAAGCTTCCCAGTTGCACATTAAATTATACAGCTGAGGTTTAGACTTTCTTCTAAGCCCTCATCTTTGCTGTTGGCATACATTCTGGCTTTTTTATTTCCATTTGCCCTTTCAAAGCAGCTCCTTCATTTATCTCCTAAACAGATGTTGCCGTCAGGTTCCTTATGCCTAGCTCCAAAGATTGGCATATGGCTCCATCTAACCCATTGTCACCTTACGCGTGAATCTGCAGCCGGTGAAGCTGGAGTAAGGAGCTCTCTGGCAGGCAGCAGAGGCCCTGGGGATTCAGCACTGCATCCCCCATAATGTGGTGAAACTCTAGGGAAGAAGAGGAAAGGCAGCCAAGACAAGTCTGCCAATTCCTGGATTTCACAAGGCTCATTCTGGGAGTCCTTTTGTTTCCTTTCCCTGCTTCTAACTTGAATTGACTGATGAAAGAGAGGAAGTGCCATTGAATAGAAGCTCTCAAATTTGCCTTCTAACTTGGTTTTATAGAAAACGAGCCACCCACAGTGTTGGCAAAAGGAAGGGCAGCCAGAAGGACCTCCGACCCCCTGATCTTTGGATCCATCATGAAGAAATGGAGATGAAAAATATTGAGAAGCCATCCAGCACTGACCCTGCAGGAAGGGACTCTCCCATCCAAAGTTGCCAAGACCTCACACCAGTCAGCCACAGCCAGTCAGAAACCCAACTGGGGAGCAAAAGCACCTCTCATTCAGGTAATTTTTTTTTCACTGGCATTAGGGAAAACATGCCATTCTGAACCCAACGGAATTTTTCACTCCTTTTATGGAAATGTCTTCCCCACTAATTTGCATGTCATTATGGGTCATTTATCAATAGTTAAATGAATTGAATATAAATTTGGTTGATTAACCAATTATATGTCTGTCTTCATCATCCTGTGTCTTGATATAATTTTAACAATTCTTTTATAATATTAATAATTCCTGAATCTTTGAAGAGGTTGGAAGTAGCACAGTTGGGAAATATAGAAATTTGAATCCTAAATGAATTGATTGCTTTTTGTTAATTGTTAAGCAAATGTTTTGTTGAGGCAATAAAATTTGAAGCCATCTGTACATTTTCTAGTTCCTTATTTCTATAGATAATTGAAAGTTAATTCTAAATTGTCTGTTAATTCCTTGTTTTAAAAAGTCAGATCAGGGCACTTGAAGTATCAAAAAAATAACTGAATATTCTGTTACTTTGGCCTCTGATTAGTATGAAAATCAACTGTCATCCACATACAATCATTTTGTGTGATCACCAGAGTAGTTTGATGGGATTCTGTCTGAATATTATGATGTTATACAAAGGGATCTGAAGAAAAAAGCCTACTGTTCAATGAATTGGTGCAGAACAATCACTGGTGTCCAGGGATAAGTAAGAACACTCGAAAATGATTGTAAGATAGTTCACTTTCTATGGGTCTTTATATTACCTAAGTGCTTACGGGAATCATCAACCAAATACTCTCATCAAAAAACTCCGTCTACTTATAATGTGATTGTAGAATGAGGAGCAGCTGTTTTTAAAGTGAATTAAAATATTTTAGTTATTTGAATGTGTTACTGATTTACTGGATGCTGTCAGATCAGAATTGCATAAACAAGAAATAGAAGTATTGATTGTCAACCATGGATTGTTGAAAATTTCTTTCTGAGCTCTTAAATGATGTCTTAGGCAGATTTAGTAACTTCCTTGTCGCTCCAGTTTTTGAAGGACAATCTAGTTCCACTAAAAATTATAATCTGAAATTTAATTAAAGACTATCTTTTCTCATGCCCAGTTAGACTTTTGGCTCTGAGGACTGGGGGTCAGAATTTGTGTTTTCAATCCTCCAGTACATTGAAGTGAAATGGAATGGTGGGGTTGAGAAGAAGCAGGTACAAAGTCTGTTTCAGAAACACCCTGACATCTTTTCCCCTCCTCTCCACTTTTCCTGAGCAGGTGAGAGAAAAGAGATGGGGTGAAGAGGAGAGGGGAGGAGAAAGAAAAGAAGGGATCCTTTGAAGTTCTTCACAGCTTTTCTGGACACATATGCAAACCTCTATGTGGTATCCAAATTCTGGGTCTCTTATGAAACAGAAGTAAAACTTCTTTATGACAAGGGTATCCAACCTTTGTGCCATGGACGAATACTGGTTCATGGCCTGTTAGGAACTGGGCCACAGAGCAGGAAGTGAGCAGCGGGCAAGAGAGCGAAGTTTCATCTGTATTTATAGCCACTCCCTATCACTTCCATTACTGCATGATCTCTGCCTCCTGTCAAAGCAGCAGGAGCACTGGGTTCTCATAGGAGTGTGAACCCTATTGTGAACTGCACATGTGAGGGATCTAGGTTGCATGCTTCTTATGAGAATCTAATGCCTGATGATCTGCCCCTGTCTCCCATCACCCAAGATGGGACCATCTAGTTACAGGAAAACAAACTCAGGGCTCCCATTGATTCTACCTTATGGTGAGTTGCATAATTATTTCATTATATATTACCATGTAATAATAATAGAAATAAAGTGCACAATAAATGTAATAAGCTTGAATGTAATAATAGAAATAAAGTGTACAATAAATGTAATAAGCTTGAATGTAATGATAATAGAAATAAAGGGCACAATAAATATAATAGGCTTGAATCATCCTGAGACCATCCCCTGCCCCCTACCCACGGGTCCATGAAAAAAATGGTCTTTCTTGAAAATGGTCCCTGGTGCCAAAAATGTTGGGAACTGCTGCTTTATGTGGCCTTGTGGACCAGGTCCAGTTCCACGATGGGAGACATCAAGTCCAGGCTTACCACCTAGCACAGCTCTTTCTCTTCCCTCGTGAGGCCTCTGGGAAATTCCAGCAAGGGGAATCAAGCCCAACCAACTTTTCACACACTCACTTGGCCCACGAGAATCTCCTATATTCTTGCCAGGCCCAATGGTGAGAGACCTTGTACTCTACCACTGGCTCTCTCTCAGCCTTGCTCTCAATTACTTTTTCCTCTGCTTACATAGACACAGGGTTGAACAGCAAGCCTGCTGCCTAAACAGGCTTTCAACTGTGGAGTGATAGAAAAATAAATCCCTTTTGTAGGAACCTCCCTATTTTATAGGTGATCCTTCTTATAGCTTTGTTCTTGACTAGGTATCAGGGAGGGGAGAGTACCTCCACCTCCCACTGGAAGGGATAGAATTGTCTCTCTGGCCTCAGGAAATTTTGCCAAAGACTTCTGGGACACATCCTTCTTACCTTTTCCTTTCATCTTTTATATACTGAGATGACATTAAGTTGATGTCTCTTAATAAGTCCTGGGGGAAGATTTAATCCCAAATGATGACTGTTTTCTTTGGAATAAAAGGGTACTTGAGCCTATTTGTCGTCAAATTGAGGACCTAGTTGCCAATTTTGTAATAACAGGAAAGTAATTCTCAAAGCTATACTTTATGTTAAATTATGTATTCTTTCTGCTCTCATGCTTAACAGAACAAAACTCAACATAAGTGAATAACATTACTGGGAAACATTATATTTAACAATGGGGTTCCTGAGTAGGCAATAACTATGTAAAGAGAGATTATGTTAAAGTCTATGATTAGGACTTTTATACATTATTTTGCCTTATCTTCAGAAAATACTTTGAGGTAGGTGCTATCATCATTCTTTTAATATAGTAAATGAAGTAATCAAAGTTAAGAAGGGTTAAATAATGTGACCCAATTTCAAAGCTAGTATCACAGCCAGGACCAAAAATCTGACTCCAAAATTCATGTTTTGTTGATCCAGTTTCAATTAACTCACATAATACTTTTATGTAAGCACTTATCTTGTTTTGTACCCATGAAATTAGCTTTTTGGATAAAACCAGAAATTAATTTACAATATTCACACTCTAGCTATGGAAAAGAGAACTGAACCGAGCAATTGCTACATTAACAACAACTAATTTTATTAAGTGAGAGTTAATTTTACTAATTCTTCCCTACTTCTGGCATGCAAGCTGCTTAAACAAAACCTACTTCATTCTTTAACCACAAAAAATAGAGGATCCCACTAAAATATCTAGGAATTAAGATGATAAGTCACTGCTTCATGATACATCTCTTCTACATCTAGTGGATTTCAAAATAATTTTCTTTACTTAAAACTTACAATAGAGAAACACAAGAGTCCAGGTCTGTTTGATCTCTAGGATTTATAAATAGAATTTGCTTTCGTGAAATGAATTTATCCTCTTATACTTTCACTACAGCATCACCACAGGATTAGTGTCTTACTTTCACTTTGGAAGAATGAATAAGTAAATTTCAGTCTATGGCATTTGATAGTATTCAATTTTTAAAAATGTTCAATTCAGTGAATAACATCTATAAAAGAGCTATGTAACACCAAATGGGCAATTTAACACCTAACTTTTTATTGGTTATTTTTATTTATATACATATTAATTAAATCCTGTATGCTACAAAAAGAGTAATAGGAGAATAATTTTGTTTAACTTTTCAATGAACTCATATAATATCAAGCACGGTCCATTCTTAGAAGAAAAAAAAAATTGCAAAACTGAAAACCAACACACAGACACGCAACAATATCAAGTGACTTATTTGAAAACTATGTTACCCTAGTTGGTCCTAGAATTATTTTTTTTGAGTGGCGAGGAGAAGTACATAATTTTAAAAACTAAAGAAGAGGAAGGTCTCTTATATTTAATTAATAGTTTCACCCTTTCTGTTGTTCATTATTCCTTTTTGGTTACTACTTCCTGTTTAAAGAAATTTCATTAGCTATTTTTTTGAGGGTTTATCTGCTTGAGACAAATTCTCTTCATTTTCCTTCACTGGACAATGATGATGTTGGCCAGGCTGGTCTCAAACCCCTGACCTCAAGTGATCTGTCTGCCTCAGCCTCCCAAAGTGCTGGGATTACAGCTGTGAGCCACTGTGTCTGGCCAGGTTTGCAAAGTTAAATATGTTTTATATGATTCTGTGTAGTTTTTGGAGGACCCGTGGACAGAGTTAGATTTAGGAAGCTACTGTTATTTCACCTGTGCGGAAGCTTCTCCCAGTATAATTTTTATTTTAAATTTTATTAATTGTGATGTTAATTTTAAAGAGAATGTATGCATATGATAAAAAACAAAAAGAATAAAAAACATTTCATAAAATAGTAAGTACCTAAAATAGTAAAAGTATGTCTGCCTCTTCCCCATCCCAAATTCCTAATCCCTTTCACAAAACAAAAACAATGTTAAAAATTTTGTGTGTAATCTTATTGCATAGATGTAAGTGTGTACTTATCCATATATATACATTCTTATACACATACAAATGTGTGTGTGTCACAATATGCTTTTATATGCATATTACACACATGGGAGCATACACTATTCAGAACTTCAGTTTTTAATACATATTAAAATTAACCTTTCAAATTTGCATATATCCTTTCTTCTAAATTTTAGTGACTCTTTAGTATGACATTTTATGGAATCACAATAGATTTAGGTAAATATATCTGCTCTTATTTTTGAAGAGTATAGTTTATTTCTTGTAGGTTTTTTGTAATACAATTTAATATGGTTAGGCTTAAAGTATTGAATGAATTGTAGTAAATTAATATAGTGGAATATTACATAGCTGTTAATAATTATACCACTGACTTTTAACAGAGAGAGATTTTTGTGTTATCTTTTAAAACAGGTTACAAAAAGTATGCATAATACAATGCCATTTTTGAAAAACAAATACATTAACATATGCCCTCCCACTGTCACATATACAAACATATGCAGAATTATAAGCATCAAAATATAAATAACGGTTATGTGCAATGAATTTAGAATTTTTGGTTAATTTTAAGATTTTACAATGAAATATATTACTCAGATAACAAGAAGGTAGATGATATTATCATTGAAAACATCTGTAAGACTAAAAAGGCATTGGAATAGCTGCCAGAAAATTATGTAAAGTGTTGCATCCTTGTAGAGGGTATGTTTCTCAGGAGTGTATATTTTTCAGGTCAAGACACTGAGGAAGCAGGGAGCTCTATGTCCACTCTGGAGAGGTCACTGGCTGCACGCCGAGCACCCCGGGCCAAGCTCATGATTCCCATGGATGCCCAGTCCAACAATCCTGGTGAGTCAATATTGGTGCCATGATGAAGAGATGGAATGCTTTCTCTATGTATCTTTTCTATAAAAAAAATCAAATTATCAAAAATAATTAGAATTTTCCTTGAAGTTTCTGAGCAAATGAAAATGGAGAATGCCTAAAACCATATTATTAATAATTTGAAGTCCAAGTCTTCTTCTCTGACTGTATTTTTTGTATATAATCAAATGGTCTCTCTGTTGGCAAACAGATGGTTAAAGAAATTGTAAAATATATGCATTTACATAAAAAGAGCTGATATATATTTTAGTAGTATTGCCCTTATTCTAATGATCACCTCCATAGTGTTTTTTGTTTGTTTGTTTGTTTGTTTTTTGAGACAGAGTTTTGCTGTGTTGCCCAGGCTGGAGTGCAGTGGCACGACCTTGGCTCACTGCAGCCTCTGCCTCCTGGGTTCAAGTGATTCTCATGCCTCAGCCTTCCAAGAAGCTGAGACTACAGGTGTGCACCACCACACCCAGCTAATTTTTGTATTTTTAGTAGAGACATGGTTTTGCTATGTTGGCCAGACTGGTCTCCAACTCTTGACTTCATGTGATCTTTCTTCAGCCTCCCAAAGTGCTGGGATTATAGGTGTGAGCTACCGTGCCCAACCTCCATAGATTTTTAAATAAACTTTTTAATGGGTCTAATTCTCAAACTTAAATAATCTAGTTCCTTTAAACCAGATGTTGACCCGCTCCCACTTACTACCCATCCCTTGTTGAAGTTTTCTGTCATCCTCCCACACTTACTAAAGATATTATTATCTGTGGATCATTTCCTTTCCAGTTACCTCTATGTTCAGTCTTGGTAATAACAGTATTCATGCAGATAATTCATCTGATACCTTAGATGGTTAGTTCCTCTATGTTGCCTGTGAAGATATTGACTCCTTCCCTCTTCAGTTCATCAATTTCATGTCACACCAAATCAAACCAGTACAAAATGGCAGTTTTTATCAACTTATTAGTTACCTACTTACTTTATTGCCCACTTGCCATCAATTCTTCAATTCCACCAGGAACCCCAACCCATTAGCTCCACCACTTCCTCTCACCCGTTATCCCCCTCTTGTCCTCATTTCTCTGCAAGCTTAACTTAGGAATTTTTGTTTTTGTTTTTGTTTTTGAGATGGAGTCACTCTTGCCCGGGCTGGAGTGCAGTGGCATGATCTCAGCTCACTGCAACCTCTGTCTCCTGGGTTCAAGTGATTCTCCTGCCTCAGCCTCCGAGTAGCTGGGACTCAGGTGCATGCCACGACACCTGGCTAATTTTTTGTATTTTTAGTAGAGACGGTATTTCACCGTGTTAGCCACGATGGTCTCTTTCTCCTGACCTTGCGATCTGCCTGCCTCAGCCTCCCAAATGCTGGGATTACAGATGTGAGCCACCACACCTGGCCTTAATTTAGGTTTTATAGTCACTTATTATCTTCACTCTTATCTCCCTTGGTTCTCCTTCCCCATCTTACTCACCTGAAAAAGACCTGATTAAATAAGCAGCTCCCCAGTGCATACACCACTCTGTATCTGGAGAAAAACACATAGCCTGTTTACTGAGTATTTATAATCAAAAGTTCAAGGTGAGCTCTCACTATTTGGAAATGATACTGTATTGCTCTAGTGGTTCATAGTTTCACTTTATAAGATGAATATCTTAGATGTATTCTTGCTTTTTGGATTTCAGTACCTCCCTTCTTTCCCTACTCTTGCCTAATAGTCTTGTATCAGCAAGAAAAGAGAAGCATTCAGAGAGTGGGATCCTTGTTCTTCCCTCAAATCTAATTGATCTGTTAGTGCTGCATCTGAGTATCTTGTTGCAATCCCATCTCACCCATTTAGGGACTCTTCTGTAATTGCCCCTTCCCTTTCCTGCATTATCAGGTTTCTTCCTTATCACCATAGTAGGCATACAAATATTAATATTCTGTCATAGCTCCTGTTTTATAACTCAATGCCCTTCCCACTCCAATTAAAGCTGTATTTACTGAAATATTTTTAAAAATCTGTACTTTATCCTCTTTGTAAGATTTCTTATTACTTTTAATAAGATATTACAGTCACTCTCCACTGAATCCATGATTGCCAAAGTTGTCAATAATCTCCGCATTGTCAAATCCAATGCTCAAGTCTCAGACTTTCAGAAAAAAATTGACATAGGATCTCACTTATGTCCTTGAAACACTTTCTCACTTTGGCTTGTAGCATACTAAATGCCCCTGGTTTTCTTTCTACCCTTCTGGCTGCTCTTCTTCAGTCACTTATTTATCTTCTTATTCCTGATCTCTGAGTCAGAGAATGCCTCAGGCCTCAGTCTTCAGGTTTCTTCTCTTTTCTCCCTATACCAGCTTCTTAGATAATGTCATCTAGTATCAGTGGCTTTAAATATTATCAAAATTCCAATTAATCCTGGATGATATTATCCTGTGGCAGGATCTCTAGAGAAAGGGCAAAATGCCACAATTCTCTTTGCTAATGCATAGCAGGATCTCCTTTGTTCCAGTTCTCAATAATTTCCTCATCTCCATCTGAGACCACCTCAGCCTGAACTTCATTGTCCATATCACTACAAGCATTTTGGTCAAAACCATTCATTAAGTCTCTTGGCAGTTCCAAACTTTCCCACATTTTCCTATCTTCTTCTGAGCCCTCTAAACTGTTCCATTTCCAAAGTCATGTCCACAATTTTCAGGCTATCTTTATAGCAGTCCCCCACTCTTTTTGGTACCAATTTACTGTATCAGTCCATTTTCACACTGCTGTAAAGATACCACCTGAGACTGGGTAACATAAAGGCAAAGGAGGTTTCATTGACTGACAGTTCTGCATGGCTGGGGAGGCCTCAGGAAATTTAGAATCATGGAGGAAGGTGAAGAAGAGGCAGAAGGTGAAGAGAGAGAGAAAAAAACCCAAGGGGAAAGAACCCCTTATAAAACCACCAGATCTCATGAGAACTCACTCACTGTCATGAGAAGCGTGGAGAAAACTGCCCCCATGAGCCAATCACCTCCTACTTGGTCCCTCTCTTAACATGTGGGGATTACAATTCAAGATGAGATTTGGGTAGGGACACAGAGCCAAATTATATGAATCAACTTATTCTGTTCACAAACTCTAGTTCCATGCCTCTTTATTCTAATTTCATTATACCCTAAATTCAATCTTTTACCAAATTCTTGTTTACAAAACATGTCCCAAATGTGACCACTGTTTTCGATCTTCACTGTTTTGCCCTTATACAAGCTCCCACCATCTCTTACAGTTACTAGACTACAGCAATAAGCTTGTAACTAGTCTCTTCCTTAGCTTTTCAAAAAAAATTATTCATAATTGTTATGGGTACATAGTAGGTGTATAATATTTTTGGGGTACATGAGATGTTTTGATATAAGATGGGATATGTAATAATCACATCATGAAGAATATGGTATCTAACTATGCAAGTGTTTATCTTTTGTGTTAAAAACAATCTAATTATACTCTTCAGTATTTTTAAATGTACAATTAAATTATTATTGACTATAGTCACCATGTTGTGCTATCAAATAGTCTTATTTATTCTTTCTATTTTTTGTACGCATTAATCTTCATTAGCTTTTGCCTTTATAATCTGTTGTCTACACAGCAATCTCTCAATATATAAATTAGATCATGTTGTTCCTCTGTGACTTCCATCAAATGTAGAAACAAAATCAACTAATTTTACTGTGTCCTACAAGGTTCCATGTGATTTGGTCTCTGGGTCTATACCTCACTTGATCTCCTATTGCTCCTTTCTATAATTAATTATAGTCATGTAACCTTCCTCTGTGTTCCTTGGATAGTAGGCATGTCTCAGCTCAGGGATACTGCACTTGCTGCAGTCTTTGTCTGGAATCTCTTTTTGTAGATATTTATATGGCGCATTCCTCATTTCTTTTAGGTCTCTTCAACTGCCACCTTCATAAGCAGGTCTTCCTTTACCATTGCCTGACGTAGCATCTCTGGTCACTCTCTACTTCTCTGTTATGCTTAATTTTTCTTTATTAATGCATTACACTATTCTATTTATGGTATTGTATTTGTTATTTATTTGCTTCCTGTATTTTAATATAATCTTATAGGTGCAATTATTTTACCTATTTTGTTCATTTTGTATCCCCAATACCCAGAACAGCATCTGGCACATGGTAAGTCTGCAATCAATACTATTTAGTCAAATGAATGAATTAATAGTTGTTGTTTTTTTAACTTACCATATGCCACATCCTCCCTATGCTCCATTACATCTTCTCTCAACTTTACTGTAATAAATGCAAAAAGTTACATGACATTTATAATGAATGCGAACTGTTCAAGTCATCTAGTAAGCACTATTATTATGCTTCTCATTGTTACATTCTCTGAAGTACTGAGAGAACTAAGACTTGGAGAGTTTGAGTAACTAGCTAGCAGTCACACAGCTAGTATGTGGTAGAGCCAGAATTTGGACTCAAAGGGTCTGATTTCAGAGTTCCCTGTTCTTAATCATTATACTCCTAGCTGTCATATCCTGTGAAGCTATTGTCCTTTTTTTTTTTTTTTTTTATACCTTTCACTACCGAGAAAGATACTGGGAATTGAGTTGCCTTTTTCCCTCTAGGTGCTTTCATCTTGTGTTAATAACTAAGTTCTATCCGTGCCAATCATTTATTGCTTTCTTCTCAAAAATTATTGTACTTTAGAATCTGTGGAGCTTTTCTGTCCATCTAATTAGAAGTAGCTTCTTCATCCAATGAATTTCCATATGCCATTGCTTTTTCTTTCACGATATCTTTGAATCCCTGGCTATTCTCCCATTCTTAATTCTTTTATTTATTATTTGTGACTTCACATCTAAACTGCCAAGACAGTTTCCTAGCTAAGTCTTCTTGGCTAGCACCTTCCAGCCTCTTATGCATATTGCTTGTCAGATTTCTTCCTAAAACAAGGTAAGCATGGCATTCTACCCCATACATTTCTCCA